TTGGTGTTAATATTCTAGTGTTCAGTGACAGTTATACTATTATAATCCGGCAAAACTAAGTGGGTAGAAAATCTTGCATTGCTCTATGTAAACAATTGTATGTCGATTTTAGTTGGTTTACATGTTCATTCATTTTTCATTCACCAACTCTAGAGTAACAATACCCAGTATTAGCTACTCTAAGTTTGTGTTGGAAAAACGCAAACGAAGTTATCTGAGAGTAAGAACAAAGAGTAAATTTATTCTAGGGTTAGTTACTCTGGAGTAACATGGTATTTGGTCGAATCCACCCTAAGAGTCCTTAATTATACTGGCTGTGTGACATCAGAACTAAGTAAGAGATTTGTGTTTGTATGTATATATTTGATAATGAAAATATTTTCAGAAATATTTTTTTTCTTATTTTCTTCACGATGTTTTCCTTAACCGCGGAGCACGTGGTAAAAATTGCAATTAACAATTTCATTGGTGCCTGTGGGGATCGAACCCGGGCTGCTCGCGTACTGTGAATTTCACAGCTAACGCTTAACCCCTGAGCTACTACGGCTCTACCACGTATAAAAGTTTAATTTAAACAATCGTTCTTGACTATAATTTTGACAACTCTCTAGTTGTTATCCCATTAAACAAGAGAGGACGTAAGTATTTAATGTTTGTGACGCAATAAAAATAAATCAGTTTCCAAGTTTCACGGAACGACTCATAGATGATTATCGCGTGCAATTAATGTTCCTACGTATGTGGGGCGTTGCCCATCTTACAATATTTTAAGGTATTGTGACATTCTTTACGTGAATAGGTCATCGTTCAATAGCTCTACGTTGCATTACAATAAATTCTCCTCGCAGAAAATGGAAACAGTTTGACCTGCTCCAACGGTTGTTTTACCACCAAGAATATAATATGCTTATAGTCCAATAAATCGATTAGATAGCTATTCGTGATGTAAAATGTCATATGAAAAATAGACAATCAATTATTGGACACATTAAGTGTCCAAGTTAAATAATTTTATTCGTTAGGTAGTTCGTTATCGCAGACATTTTGATCATATGCGAATTAAAAATCCAGCCTTGAGTCACATAAGCACAACATGCATCACTAACATTATAATTGTGTCACAAAAGTTACTATATGTTTATATAACATTTAATTTCACCGTTTTCAGTTGCCGACCACATATCGTAACAGTTACAGTACCTATTCCGCCGCGGGTTATAGTCTCAACTGGAGTGAAAAATCGCCAAAAATGATTATTCATCAGATTAACAGATTGGATTTTCAGGTTTGGTTGTATTGGCATCAGACACGGGTGGGTTTAGTACCCCTTTGTTTTGCATGTATATTTGGTTTTTTTTTGCACTAATAAGCTGGATGACAAACGAGCACATAATTCACCAGATGTTTATAGTGGATGCTGTGGCCAACGGACGTCGACGTGTATCATCGACTAAGAACCAAAATGCAGATGCGTGGTAGCTATACACTGCTATGTAATGCGACTAGTTATTTCACGCTGGATTTTTGCTGGAGAGCGTGGTTCTAACCCGGGCTCGGGTCCCGTTTGAAAATCGTTCAGGAGGACATCATCCTCCGTTTCGTTGCCTTATCCTCTGTTTCTATATTATTTACATGACATTCTGGCGATACTGAACGCCGACGTATTTGTTTAATCTATACAGTTTGGTCTGTATATTTTAAATCTATATATTTCATAAGCTCGACACCTTCGTCAGTCGTCGGGCGACCCCTTGTGAAATCAAATTGATTTTTATGGAGTAATTTATTTTTATTAAATAACTTTAACAATTGATCTAAAGTTATCTTTTCAAAAATGTTACTGAGAGTTGGTAGTACAGAAATAGGTCTAAAATCAGCGGGGTCCAATGTACCACCAGATAAAGTTAAGATAAAATTAAGATTAAGTTAAGTAGTTTTTTTAGCATAAGTGATATTTAATAAATATTTAGTAAATATAAATTAACCATTTTTGTCAAATTGCCAACCTGCATGCCAAGCCTGGCAATTATACCTAGCAAACCCAATTACGAGGCATACCATGGGAAGGCTTATGTTCAGCCGAGGCCTTTGATAGGGTGTAACGAATGATGATATATTATAGTACTCTAATACAACAGTTTCATTTCGGCACGATCCCGGAACGTTAAATGTAAGTACATACTCGTAATTAATACGAAAGACACAGTCCTTTTGTATTTTGACTCTCCGTTCATCTTCATTACAAACAAAATTTATAAATGCATAATATGAACATTGTTTTAGTGTAAGCTCGAGAGTCAACAATTATCGAGGACCGTCCGAACGGAAAGTAAACGGAGAAAAGTTGTTCGCAGTGATGTAAGAAAATAATTAATGTGTACTTTGCTAAGCAGCACAGTTAATCTCGCTCGTCTTCATAAGATAAAACATCGACGGCTCCGTGGCGTAGTACCTTAAAAATGAGTTGCAGTGCTGGGGGCCGCGGCTTCGAATCCGGCAAGGCACAAATATTTGTATGGCCTACAAATAATTGTTCCAGGTTTGGATGATTCTTTGTGAAATTTATAAATGTAAACTGCCTTTTTTATAGGATAGGGTGACAAACGAGCACACAGTCCACCTGATGGTAAGTGGTTACTGTGGCCCATAGACATCTACATCCAACAAAATGCAGATGCGTTGTCACCCGTGAGGACTAAGATGGAATGCCTCATTTCCAGTAAAAAGGGCCTTCACGATACGTGGGGAGAACGATTATAAAAAATGTTTTAAAGAAAAAAAATCTATACTATTGTTAGTGGCCAGGTATTGTAGTTACTGCCTGCATTAGGCGTAATAATGCCTACATTAGTGCTTTAATAAATTTTATTCAATAATTACCATCATAATTATATTTCCAAAACCGATTACTTTTTAATTTAATTAAATCCTTCAAAAAATGAAGTTAAAAATTCGACTGTATTGATTGTATTTCTTTTTTAATTACAGTCAGCTAACCGACTAATATTTTTATTTTATTTTATGAAGCAATATACATATAGATAGATGTAATTTCACAGTGGTCTCATATAAATTCCAGTGCGATAACAATTTAATACGGTTTATTTATATTAAACAATTAGTATTTATAAATCTTAGTTCGATACTCGTATTAACTACAACGTTGACTTTTCAAAGTTTAAGATGAATTAATTATATTTAGCAATTAAATGGGAACGCGAAAATGTTTGTCGGCGACACGGAACATTTCTTCATTTTCGCATTCAAGACGTCCCTATCTATTTATTAACTATTCCTTGTTTATTTTCGCATGCAAATTACGTAACGCGTCGTGTATTATGCGGTATTAAAATCTATCGACTCAGTTTTGGTGAAAATTGCGTGCTTTAATATCTACATTTATAAGTAATCAAATTTGTAGGATACGTGTATTTGTATTTGTAAATGTGTGGATAAATGGGACTTTTCCAAGAAAAGATTTTCACGTTTCGGATTCTTCCAAATGAAGAATAGAAAAAGACGGCCTTATAGGGCTCCGACCCAGGGTATTGGATAATTGTAAAAAGTGTGATTTTATAAGTGTTTCGTTATGTTGTTATGCAATAGTTAAAAGAGAATTTACATATACCCGCTGTTGCAATAAAACAACACGCTGTTATGAAAAAAAAAAGTGGAATATGGAGGTTCCATGAAATCCATGATTGCGAATATTCAAGGTTGACTGGCAGGAAAAGCCATTTGGCGTTAAAAGTATAAGGTGCTTATAATAAACATTAAAAAATACATAAAATCAGCTGTAGAAGAATTAATGGTTTACATGGCTATGCCACCTCGTTTCCTCTCATGGGGGTCATAAGATGCGAAGATGACGGTATTTTTTTTTAGTTTTGTTTTACAAAAGTGTCAAACAAACATACAGTCGACCTAATGGTATCTAAGTGACTACTGCATCCAACTTCAAATAAATATGGATGAAGACGGGTTGTTGCATCTGAGGACTATCTACAAGCTCTATTACTGGCGACGGGACGTAGCGTCAACGATTCAAGACTTCTAACTCTGCGATTGCAAATCCGCCAGTCTAGCTTGATGTTTATGTCAAAACCTTCTTACTACGAGGAAAGGTCATGTCAAACGTTGGACTATTATCGTCTACAATAATCCAATATATATGTACCACAGCTCGACACGGGTTTCTCATTTTTGCCAAATGCTCCAATGCTTGTTGACGGACTAAAGGTGTTCTCGAAATGTTTTTATTTCTTGAACATGGAGGTTTTCTTCACGATGTCGTACTACACCGCCGAGCATGAAATTTAAGTCGATTCAACTTTCAATGCAGGGTTTTTTTTTATTTCTGATCATACTATCGATTATGAAACCCTGTGACTGGAATGTTACACATTACTTTGTACACACTATTGCGTAACCTTGCGTAATTGAGTGAATTTTTTTTTGTGGATAATATATGTTTCATATTACTGTTGAGACTTCTAAATGATTTGATTAGACAGCCGTTCTAATATTTTTGGATCGTTACGCGCATGTGACGTCTGTTGGCGCCAAAATACTGATTATCTGACTCGTATTTCCACGGTTTTGTACGAAAAGCGTCGCCGTTATTTTTTTTCGTTCGTTGTATTTTAGTAATTGAACTATTTTAATGCCCCGTAAGTTTTTTTTTAAATTGAGGTTTGTAGAGAGTAAAAGACTGGAAATATAAAAATATACAAAAAAGTTATTTTGTTTTAAATGTATGTAATATACACGGCATTAGTTTTTTTTTTCTATTTCTTAGGAGTGATGAAATTTTGCTTTTAGTATTTTTTGTTGTTTAAATTTTTCATTAGGCATTTTCAAGTTAGCTGTCTAGTGTTTAATCTTCGCCAATAGCCAAAAGTTTATAAATCATCATTATAGTTAATCATTAATGTATTAGGTATGGACTTGTAAGTGGATAATACTAAAATTATCGTTATTTTAAAGGAATAAATACTCACTGTTGCAAGAAGCGTTATATTCATCTTCCTTCTGCATGCTGTACTGCGGATTCTCTTCCATTGGTGGGTATGGAACGAACCGGGGCAGCATGATGGATGACTGCGCTGGTGATGGTGACCGCTGTTTGCTGAGGTTTAAGGGTGCGTCCGGGTCAGGTGGTGGGGAGCGGGCGGTCGCCGTTAATTGGGCCAACTGAGCTGTCGCTGGCCAGGGTGAAGCTTGAACAACCTGAAATCGGGTGGGTAGTTATAAGTATCGATAAACACATATAAGGTCAGAATCGTGCTTTTTGTCTAAGTTTTTATGTACCTACTACTAGCCGGTACCCGGCGCATTGCTGCCGCATAAGAAATGATTGTGAAAATATCCTTTTGAATTTAAAAGAGTTATATTGTTTAAATAAGAATTATAACAAAATAATACGTAAATTATTATGTAAGTAAGTTAAATGATAAATAACTTTTAAAAAAAATTGTTGATACGTTACTCGCGCCACCTACTGGAATTTAATTGTATTATGCCTGTGACTTTTGTGTAAGTACTAGCAATATGTTTACAAAGTTTTACCGCAATCTCATGAACGGTATGGCAGCGCATAAAATACGAACAAACAAAAATTAATTTTTATATAAATTAGATTGGATATCAAATCTAAGTAAAGTATAAGTAATTAGCGTATTTGCTTTTTAGATTATTTAATATTCATGAATATGTTGAGTAGACTCTTGTTAACCACCGTGTAGCTTTATTTTCGATTAGCGATTTAATTAACTAATCTAGTAGTTACCATACTGAGTAGATACTTAAAAATCCCTAAGTACCCCCATTCGATTTTCATTATAGCTTGTGTTCGTCTTTCTGCCTTGGATGCTAAATTTTATGTGGGTAGATTATTAAAGATAGGAAATTACGAAGTTAGATATTATTAAAAAAAATAAAAACCAAAATCTCGAACGGGATAACATAAATATTACCCATAACATTATTATTGTATACCGTAAATTAGAACGCGATAAAAATAAAACTTTGTAGTCGATGCGCCTTGTTCGATTAGTTATGAATTTTCTTTATGAAAAACTGTCGGCTTTGAAGTGATATTTACATCGCGAAATACGTCATAATTGCTTGTTCGCAGATCGTTGTCACTGCAGTAGACGTTCGCAGATAAAAAATTAGCAAATACAAGTAACAAGAATCAGGCTACAAGTCAAACACGCTTATTCATCTTTTTTTATATATATAGTTAACATAAAAATTATTGAGAAATTTAATGATAGATCGTTTTCTATTAATTTAATCCTTTAGGAGGAAATGATTCTGGGTGGTCTTTTCTCCATACAAACGCTCTCGCCTGTTTTCTTTCTGGTTTATGGCCTTATAGCAATAAGTTTTTACAGTAAAATAAATATCAATCTCTTCTATGTCCCTATGTTTTCCTTTTTGATGATACATTATCTTTATATGCACTAGAACCGTTACAAAATGCTCAGAATTACCTATTTAGACTGCCGTTAACATAGGCCTAGTGTTCAAATTTGATAACTAATAGTGGAAAAAAAACCATAAGAACACAGTGTATTTCCTTCTTATTCAGTTTATGAAATATCTCTTAAATTCGTCCAATATTGTAAGAGGATATGGTAGAGAGCCAAATCTCGAATTATGCCTTTTTACTTAGACTATTCAGTCGGATCTGCAGTTGTCCTTATCGTACGCCGAGCATTCGAAGAGCGACAGCAATAGTTTCTTCAAATACCTAATTTTCAAATATCTCTCGGCCCGAATTTCCTCTAAACCTCGGTATATAAAGTAACATTCTGTAGTTTGTTATATCCTAGCCCATAGAATTATTCCTAGCCATTGTTGTTTCTTGCCGCAACTTAGGTCTTTACTAAGGTGGGAAATTAAAAACGAATAAATTTCACATTTAGAGTTTTCAAGAAAAAATTAAAATTACGTAGGTATTGCTTCCTCTGTTACTGATCTATAATCATCCTTAAATTCCCGTTACTTCTTACAATATCTACGTTGGATAATGATAAAGATAAATACCGATTTATAAATATTTAATAATCTTATAAGTATTTGAAATATTTATTATCGATAAAAGATTCGACTATAATTTATTATCGATAAATATAAACATCGTCACGTAAAATTAAAAAAGTATTAGCATATTATTAATGCCAGACATTTAAGAAGTCTTTTAGAAGAATGTAATGGTTAAAGTGCAATATTTTTTTTTTAAATCGAACAATCATAGTGATGCTTTCTCAAGATCGTGACATAACAATGTTTCGTCAAACTCCGTGTTGCGGAAATTGCGTGAATTAGTTTCAAGAAGCAACATCAAATGAAATGCTTATAGTCAAAAACTGGATGACGAATGATCCGTGGGCATCTTACGCATCTAATTATATTTTTACATAACCTACACCGGTTTTTGTCCAGTAATTAGTTTTGGAGCAACTTTCATTTTTGAACATCGTAATAGGGCGACAATAATTTCATATTACGTAAGTTATTGTATTTTTTTTAAACTGCCAGTTCTTGTAGTTTATTACATACATATAAGACCATTGGTTGGCTTAAAACTTATTTATCATGTATTTTTTTGGGTGGTAGAATTCCTTTTTTGGTCTAGGAATCCGTCTAGGTAGGTTTATTTGAATTCATCAGCAAAACAATGTTTGTATTTGGTTCATGTAAGCGATCCACTTACCATCAGGTGGACTGTGTGGACGTTTGTCACCCTTATGCAATAAAAAAATATGGCGTCAATTAAAAGCGGTAGCGGTGGATAAGTGGATAATTATATATTATACGATAACATACTACTTCGGTCATATAATATAATATAGATATTTTTATAATCTTTGGATAAAAATGTGTACAATTATAAGTATTACTATCATGTGATAACAATCAATTTACTATTAGGCATAAACTTCTTATCAAGATCTGTCAAACGTTTAGGGGATATACCATAATTATAAGTTAATTATCTTCGACCGTTTCGTGTAGAAGCTTTACTTTATAACATCGCCTAATAGTAACATTTTCTTAAAATTATATGAAAAACTTGTAGAATGTGTCTATTCAATAGGATTAAGTAACAATTTATGCCGGTTTTTTTTCATAGAGGGTGCAAACGAACATATGGCTCACGTGATGATAAGTGTCGCCGGCCGCCTTCGAACAACTGCAACACCAGAGAAATTGCAGCTGCGTTGCCGGCCATTTGATTTAACCTTGTAATCTGCTTCACCGTTTTGTACAGTGGACATTGTAAAAGGCAACTATGTAAAATGCCGGAATAATCTATCGGCTTTGGATAGATGGCGGTATGAACTTCTCGTTTACACCAGATGTTAACTACCAAGACCAGCGACGACAGACAACAGCGTCGAACGTGCAAGACGTCTGGTACAAAATGGTCAATACCTACACCTGCTAAGTGTGATAAGGCAAATTCTCCCTACAGTGGGAGAGGCATATCCAGCAAGGTAAATTTTACGTGTTCATTTAATGGCAGATATTATAGTTATGATTGTCAAGGCTCAGAAGGGCTAGAACCCAGAGCCGTAAAGCCAGTTAAAAAAATATGATTATCAAAATTAATTTGCTTTTCATTCGGATTTATTTTTCATTTATTGTAGCATCCTTCAAATAGGATGCTGTAATAAATGAAGCCTCCAGAGACTCGTGTCCAGCTGTGGACTGCTACGAGTCAATCATGAAGAATAAGACTTTCTCAATTTCACCATCGCACATCGCGATAAAACTTGCGATACCATCCATACCATCTGGATGATTGGCGGTCCATCACTGTGCGATTTAGAAGTTTTCTTCATCGCACAACTTCCTTGTGGAATCGCCTACCACCAGCGATTTTTCTGGACCGATACGATTTAGGAACCTTCAAGAAAAGAGCCTAATTCTTTTTAAAAGGCCGGATATGCTTCTGGAATTCCGCTGGTGTAGCAGTTGTTCATGGATGGCGGTAGTCACTTATCATCATCAGGTGAGCCGCATGCTCGTTTGCCCCTTCTTATATAAAAAAATATTAAGTGACTTGAGTATGGGTATATATAGAATGTTATCTTCACGGTTTCATTACATTGTCACACAAACGTTATTCCATTTAATTTTGGCTTGGTTGGTCGCGTGCCAATCTGGTTCATTCATGGGTGCGGTCTCTCTGATCCAAAAGTACACTGTAGGTACTAATTATTCTGGACACGTAATGCGTTATTACAATATTAAATATATTTTGCGGTGTATCAACTTTCCATAACAGGTTATTGCCGAAAGAAACTATTTAATGTGTTTATTTATTTGTTGTTGTTAAACAACTTTTTAATGAATGAAGAGGCGGTTTGTCACCGCAAGTGTGATTTCACAAAAAAATATATTGACCATTAATAACGTTAGTATTTGTAATGAAAGAATTGATTTATATCTAAATGCGTGATTTGTAGTTTAAGTATATTTTAAAAATGTCAAAAATATGTACGGCTGGAAAAATAGTTCATTGTGTGGACTTCCCTATAGTAACAATTGTGATAATTAATTAAGTAGTCCCGTAAAAATGAATTTGATAATCCTACAAAATGTTATACCTAGCCAAGTGTTATAATCATTGAAGGTTTAAACTTATTTAAGGAGTTTTTGTTAATTACACCGAAACTTAAATTTGAAAACAACTAAACATAAAGTATGTAGTTCAAAGGTGAAATAGGTAATATTTTTATGCATAAATATTTATTTTAAATATTTTTTTAATTAATTAACAACTTTTTTAAATGTCTGCAAAGAATAGAAGGATAGACCGTTAGGCAACTATAGATTTTTTTACCATTAGCTTATTAAAGTAAGACTATATTAAATACTTAGGATAATTATAAATGTAATAAATAAAATTATAGACTGACACACCATTCTATTAATTTGTATGTTGTAGTCGAATGATGCATGATTTTAATGATTTTAACTCCATCATTACGATTTGTTTAAGACGTGTGATTTAATTTGAACTCAAGGGATGACTCACGTTAGTTGGTGCTTGCGGTTGCTGTGGTCGCATCTGTTCTAACAGAGGCAACAAACCGAGTGGGTGGCCAGAATATAGTCCGTGCTGACCGCGCCGTACTAACTCCTGTCGTCGGAGGTGCTCCTGTTGTAATCTCTGCAGCTCCAATTCCGCTGATACGTTTCCCATGTTCTGTAAAAAATTATCAAGCTTAATATATTGTTACATTTTATCAGTTAAATAGTGAATGCCTTATTCATAAAAACTAAACTTAAAAAAAGACGATTAAAGTTGCTCTTTCTCTCTCTCTCTCTCTCTCTATAGTAATTCACAATAGAAAGAGATAAGTATAGAGATAATCAATGCTTAACTTATCTAAGGTATAGTAAATCATTAACAACGACCTTACTTAGGCCGTTAATTCTTTATAATTTTTTTCTTTATTTTTTTTGTAGAATAACGGTGACAAACGAGCACACAGTCCACCTGATGGTAAGTGGATGCTGTGGCACATAGACATCAACATTTCTCCTTAATTAAGAATCAAAATGCAGATCTTAGTCAGATACGTTGAGAAGTGTTTTCGGTTCTCTTCACTCATCATATAAAACGCAGCACTAAGCTGCCATCTTACGCTGGTATTCTGTAAGAGTGTGATCCTTCCCCGATCGAGCCATGCTTCAATTATAATATAGCTACACCGTGGCTCTACAAAGTACAAACATCTTATCTTTCTTTAAACATTCGTCTTATTAGCGATATTAATAAAAAGGACAACTTGTACTGATCTCTACGTTTGGTTGATGTGTTGCTAATTGCTAGGTGGCTCTTATTTTATAATACAAAATAAGAATTATTTCCTGTTTAAGAGTTTTACTCAAAGATCTGAGAGATTTATGAAAAATACTTATTATAGATATATGAAAAGAAATAACGGATTAATATTTACTATATCAAGTAGGTGAGTAGTACAATAAAATAACAGATGAAATGATTGCGGGATACTAATTAAGTACCTAAATGGAATATACTGTCATACAATGTACATTGTAAATTTTAAATGTAATACCGTCAGTTATTACTAACGGTGATATTTCATAACACTTAAAGCGTATTTAAACGCAAAAATAATATGTTCTATAAAAACAACCGGTTCAAGTTTTGCGGTACTTTCAGCAATCGGTCCCTAAGAGAAATCTTTCCGCGCGATATTTATTCTTAACGATATATTGCACCTTCAAATCCTGACAAAGAACGCGCTAAGATGCATACACAAATCATGCGGGTGGACGGTCACTTTATCTTAACGCCTCTAAACCGCGCTCCCAAAAAAAGATACACCGATTAATTGCCCAGGAGTCGTGACGAATGTCACAATATACATTTTATCAGCTCTTCATTAAGACTGTATTGAATTGTTAATGGTTGTACAGAGCACGACGTTATAAGGCGATGAAATCGATACAACTCGATGAGACCAGTTTCCGCACGACTGACAACAGTGGCGCAAATTATGATAAAATACTGCGAAATTAAGAAATCTCGTGCAAAAAATGCGCCTCTTGCGCCGAAAACATATTTAAGTGAATTATCGAAACCGCAGATAAAAACGAAGCGCTAATGGAAGACAAAAGGGAATGCATAAATAAACATGACAAAATCGTGCGAATAAAAAGGCTCCGAGTTGTAATAGGTGCCCCTTACAGATACGCGCTGACACCGGTAATCGAGCAAGTTTTTCCATCACACAGACAAATTGCCGTCATAACCGAACGGATTAAACTTTTTATTAAAAACAACAAACTGAGCATAATGTATCGCTGTAATCGGCAAGGGACAGATGGTACCAAATAACGCGCGCGATTTATCTAATGTAAAAAGACTTTTATTTAATGGCGGCGCGGAGATGTCCTAGCAATTGGTGGTTTATATTTTACAGCCGACCGTCGTTTTGGCGTTTCGGTTGCGCTTTGATAGCATTATAAATGTACGCGATGACATAAAAATGCGAGTTTTGATATAGGTGACCAGTTGTGGTGTAACAATTTATTGTAATCCCGGCACAGGTGAGTCGTTCAGTCGTAAATAAGATGGAGAAACGAATGCTTCAGAGGAAATATGAAGCGACATCATTTAACATGCGGTTAATGTTATCTTTGCCAATAGAAACGACTGGACATGATTAAGCGTCACGCGGAATTGCGTTCGAACCAATGTCCAATCAATAAAGATGGCGATGGGTATAAATAACCACAGAGACATATACCATTTGTCATTATGTCCTTGGCTATTTTGCGAGCTGAATGAATTTCAAATACTTAATATCATAGCACGCAAATTTCATAATCAGTTCTTAATTCTTACAGTAAATCTCTTTATCACGAACTATTGTTGCAATAGTTAAATTTTTTATGTGGAGCCATGCTGCAGCTTTATTAGTAGATAGTATAGTTGTAGCACGAATGGGTCGGCTATGAAAATGGAAGAACCACGCTTTCACAGAATACCAGCGTAAAATAACAGCTCAACACTGCTATGTTTCGTATGGTGACTGTAGAGAACCGGAGACCCTTTTTACTGGAAAAGAGGTATTCCATCTTAGTCCTCACGGGTGACAACGCATCTGCATTTTGATTCGCAAACGCGGATAAATGTAGATGTCTATGGGCTACAGCAACCACTTACCATCATGAGAGCTATGTGCTCGTTTGTCACCCTATCCTATAACAAAAATCATATCATATCGAAAACTGTATACTTGAAGAATATAATGTAGTAGGAACTGACAATGAGATCACAAATGAGGACCGGACATACCATGACATAATTTAAAAAGCCGGCGCCGCTATCAAAATAGTGTATAATGTTACTACAAACGATTTTAACCCTTCATATATCGTCTTTAGGTCGACATGTTATAAGCTACAAAGATTAGGTGAAAATACACTGAAAGCCGTATAATGAAACCGACGTCATATTGACGTAAGCGATGCAAGATCTTGGGTGAAATCAAAATATTTACTGTCACTGGTCGACATGTTCTCATTCTTAGAAATATTATTCTGGTCATTGATTTAGAATCTCCGCAATGTGGAAGTTTAGAAGATATTTGAGATATCTAAATGTCATCGTGTTCTTTTGACGGTACTGGCATATTTGGGTTGAGTTGCTGATGATTACGGACTGATAAAGTACCAAAATAATAGCGAACATTTTATCATATCATCAGAATACTACTATTTGCCTGGGTATGTATTCTATACATGTAATTATGCCCTTTTACAGGGTGGGGGACATAATTATAGTATTTGCATGCTCTCTCAGAATACCAGCGTAAAATAGTAGTTTAACGCTGCTGTGTTTCGTATGGTGAGTGTAGAGAACCGGAGACCCTTTTTACTGTAAACAAGGCAGAATATCTTAGTATTCACGGGTGACAACGCATCTGCATTTAGATTCATAGTTGAGGATGGATGTAGATGTTTGTGGGCCACAGCAACCACTTACCATCAGGTGGGCTGTGTGCTCGTTTGTCACCCTTATCCTATTAAAAAAAATCCTTTTAAGCAAGCGAATGAAAAGTCGTTTTACCTACTGGCTTCAACTCATAAACCTAACCTTGCTTCAATTTATTTTAAATTTTCTTCCAGTAATTTCTTCGAAGGTTGTAGTTGTGTTTTGTTGCTGTGATAGCTTGTATATATATAAATATAATTTTTTGCTTTCGGGCTTACTATAACTGTCAGCATGAAAATAGAACCATATATTAGAAAAGGAATATTTGCAAGTTTAACATTAAGGCGATACACTTATAAATTAAAGTTCTCTAAAAGCATTGTATGACAGATGTCACGTGGTTAAAAGCTTTGTAATGTAATGTAGTAGCAATGAATCATAAATGAATTCGTCAAAGAAGATCCAGTTTATTTATGTACGATACAACTATTGCCCTCTCGGTTGCCAACAGTAAATGTGGCAGATCTAAATGTGTTGATAATCAGTATAATGCGGCACAAAAAGGGCTCGAATCGGTTTAAGGGCAGCAAAAGGGCTTCCCAAAGGGTATTACAACGTGATGACAAGATAAATCAAAATGTATTGTTTATGCAACTATAATAATGGATGACGAAGTAATAAGCAGAAGCAAAGAATAAATAAAATCAATTTTATCAGTATTTCAAGCGATTGATGCTTTTAAAAATCATTGAAGATCATTAGAATTGTACTAAAATCATTAATGTAACCTCAAGTTTGAAAAAGTTATTTCCTTATACTTATTGTACAATATTTATATACTCAAAATAAATACAAGTAAGCTAATTATATGGTTCTTTAAAGTTAAAATATTTATATAATATATTTCTTTTAACATTTAAAAGAAAAAGAAAATAAAGTTAAAATAAAACCCGACAAATACGTAGTTTGTCTTTCGGAGTGTAATGTTTTCATAAATTTAAGAAATCATTAGTAGTGTTTTGTTTTTTCTATATTTATTATGTGCGCGTTTAGAGTTTTAAAAGTTTGATAAATAAATAAAAAACCGGCAAAGTGCGAGTCGGACTCGCGCACCGAGGGTTTTAAAGTTTAAAATTATTAAAAATCTTTTTATTATATGATGTAAGTAAAAATTTATGCTTTTCGCAATTTTTCCTTTATCTGTGCTATAAAACGTTGCTTCGTACCAAATGTCAAGATTCTGAGTTCACAGGAAGTACCCTGTAGGTTTTGATTCCCTTGCGAATGTCGAAAATTTACGGCATAAACGGCTGTATCTTTTGATTGCTTTGGCTTAGAACTTTGATTTTTTTCACAGCTCTAAGGGACTTGAGTATTTGATATGAATTTCAGCTTGATACCTCCACGCTTTCCTGAGAAAAAGGGTCTTGACAGACAGACAGACAGACGGACAACAAAGTGATCCTATAAGGGTTCTGTTTTTCCTTTTGAGATACAGAACCCTAAATATGACGACTTTAATAAATTCGTATTCAAATAATGTAACTCCTGATTCGTTTTATCCAATAATCACTTTTAATGACGGTCTCATTAAAAGGTTAGTGATCCGAAAATCTAAGTCTTGAGTATTTTTAAGGACGAAAAACCGCACACAGACCACCCATATGGGACTTATTCCAACAATATACGCAGCTCCATCCCTTTCTTGCTGGTTTAAATGCATTTTAATATCGACC